TGCAAGAGCAAGGAGTTGGTCAACTCGCTTGTCAAAACCAGTTGCACCACATAGATTGTACCAGATCGACTGTTCACAGACATTTCACAACATCTATTCCGCAACGTATGCTGCACCACATGTATTGCACTACGTCGGTCCCACCGCGCATGCTGCACCACGTATACTCTGTTCCTTAAAAGGAATTGGATTCTACTCACCCCCCAGGACTATCCGTGCCCTTTTCCGTGTTGCAGTTTGCGTGTTATTCTGCCCCGTCGTCCAACCTACATATGAGCTCATACCATCCCATGCCAACTTGTGTCGGCATCCCCCGCCACCCTCTGCAGAGAATAAGATTCGCGCACACTCGTGCATCAGAAACCATTAATTCTCAATAATCCCGTGCAGCAAATAAGGCGAGGTGCACTCGCGCGCATGCCGCAATCCTTCAAACATCTTGAGTCTTCGTAAGGATTTCAAAATCAAGTGTCCAAGAAACATATACGGGATTGTCAAAGAGAAAGCTGGCGCTCGCGCTCTGGCGATTCATTATACCGAGATTGTCAACATGTTCGCGACATGCTACCAAACGGACTTCGCGCGCACATATGTCGAAATTGTTCGAACGCCCTTGCGCGCGTGCTGTCGCAAGAAACCTTTCCAAAAGATGGAGCGACATGCGCGCGCGTCGTCGCGCGCATGACGGAATCTTTCGAACACGTGGGGATTCATCGCGATTTCAAAACCGAGTGTTCCGAAACCATATAAAAAACTACGGTTCCGCAGCAACAACATCACGCGCTTTCGCTCATGTGAATTTTTGCGAAAACCCGTGGTTTTCAAAATTCCAGTAGAATCCTGCCGAAAGGGCTTCTCGCGCCGCGTGCCAGAGTCATTCGAACGCCTTTGCGCGCGCGCTGCGGAGGGGGGCGCGATCCAGTTCAAGCAGTGCCATGCGGGCCGCTCTCGCGGGTCGGCCGCGCGCGCATGTCGACTTCTTCCCGAAACCTTCATCGCGGACGCGAGTTTGCCGTCACCGTCGCCGGCGTGATCGGCGTCGGCGTCGGCGCTGGCCGAGCGTCGCATCATCGTCGCCAGCGTCAATTTTATCATCGTCGCTTCTACCGTTGTCGACGTCGCCACGACGCCGCGCCCGCCCAAGTCGCCGACTCGCAGTGAAGTGCCCGCTGGGACGCGCCCAGCGGTCAGCGCCGCCGCGGCCGCGTCGGTCGCGCCAGACCAGCTGGCCGCTGCGCGCGCGAGCACGCGCGGGCTTGCGCGGCCTCAGAGATCCACCAGCCAACACCAAACACTCATCGCAATCTCCGCCGCATCGGTTTTGCAAACAAATTTGCCGGTAGGTGGGCGGGATGATTGCGCGAGCAGTGGAATTTACAATTCATTGCGAATAGCATTGCGCGGCACAGATTGCACCAGATAGCTTGTACCACGTCCATAGCACCACGTTTATCTCGCACCGCGCAGATTGCCCACCACATTGATAGCACCACGTAGAGAGCACAACTTGTATTGGTCAACAGATACTGCACCACCGAAGTTTTCCTTTTCTAAAATCACCTCAGGATCGAACCCCCTGCCCCCGGGATTGACGGGGTACCTTCTGAGTCCGCCCCTTCGTCCATCCCAAAGGCCGAACCGCCCCATCCGAGCCAGGCCGGAGTTCCCCCCCCTCCCCTTTCAATTCCTAGCAAAACATATCTTGCGCGCGCACTCGTTCATCAACTATCAACAGTTTTCAAAAATCCGTTTGGCAAAACACGGGACGAAGTGCACGCGCGCGCGTCGTCGCACCAGCAGTCCGAAATCTTGCCAACATGCGGCTTCGCAAGGATTTCAGAATCGAGCTTAACGTTAGCTTTAGTTTAGCTTTAGCTTTAGCTTTAGCTTAGCGTTAGCTTAGCTTCAGCTTATGTTTAGCTTAGCTTCAGCTTAGGTTTAGCTTAGCTTTAGCTTAGCTGTACCTTAGCTGTACCTTAGCTTTAGCTTAGCTTTAGCTTAGCTTTAGCTTGGCTTTAGCTGAGCTGCACCTTAGCTTTAGCTTAGCGTTAGCTTAGCTTTAGCTTAGCTTTAGCTTAGCTTTAGCTTAGTTTTAGCTTAGCTGTAGCTTAGCCTTTACCGTAGCTTTAGCTTAGCTTTAGCTTAGCTTTAGCTTAGCCTTTACCGTAGCTTTAGCTTAGCTGTACCTTAGCTTTAGCTTATCTGCACCTTAGCTTTAGCTCAGGTTTAGCTCAGCGGTAGCTTAGCCTTAGCTTAGCCTTAGCTTAGCTTTAGCTTAGCTTTAGCTTAGCTTTAGCTTAGCTTTAGCTTAGTTTCATCTTAGCTGTAGCTTACCTTGAGCTTAGCTTAGCTTAGCTTTAGCTTAGCTTCAGCTTAGCTTTAGCTCAGCTTTAGTTTAGTTTTAACTTAGCTTTAGCTTAGCTTTAGCTTTACTGTTCGTACTAATGCTGCTTTCCTAGGGGCTCTAGCTCCTATGTAGGGTCGCACTGGGATAATTTAAAAACGTATGGTTCCACAACAACGGTGTTCAAACAAAAAATTGCGCCCGCCTTCTTGCGAATGGTTAAGAAGACCTTAGTTTGTTCCAGCGTTTCCATAACACGCTACCAAGCGGGGCTTTCGCGCGCGCGTGTCGAAATTGCTCGAACGCCCTTGCGTGCGTGCTGTCGCAAAAAAAAACAATCCCTTACAAAAGACGACGACGTGCACGCGCGCGCGTCGTCGCGCGCGCATGCTGGAATCCTTGAACATTTTTCGTCTAACGAGGATTTCAAAAAACGACTGCCCTGAGCACATAAACAAATCACATGTTCTTGCAACATATTTGTCGGGAAAGCTTGCGCTCGCGTGTTTGCGGCCTCTGGAAAAAAAACATCGGTTTTCAACATGTTCATGCAATTCTTCACGCTTCGCGTATCCCCACCAGCCCATATCAAAACAGCAACTCTAGCGACGCATGCCGACAGTCGTGTTTTTCAGGCGTGTTTCCGCCTGCCCCCGCATATCTCCCCTGTTCCTCCTTCCTCCCGCCTCCTTGTACATCCTCCTTGTGGTGGGAGCGGGAGAAGGACGAGGCGGAGGAGGAGGGAGAGAAAGCGCTCCTCGTGGTTTGAGTCGTTTGGGGTTTCTCGTCCTGGTGTGAGTCGTTCGGGCCCTTCTTCCTGGTGTGAGTCGTTCGGGCTCTTCGTGGTGTGAGTCGTTCGGGCTCTTCGTCCTGGTGTGAGTCGTTCGGGCTTCTCGTGGTGTGAGTTGTTCGGGCCCCTCGTCCTGGTGTGAGTCGTTCGGGCCCCTCCTCCTGCCCGTCCAGAAACGACGCCCAGGCGAGTAGAGGGTCGTCCTGATGGGCTTTTCGGCGTCTTGGGTGCCTCGGGGGGGCCTCTTTGGGCCGTTTGGGATCCTCTTGGGGGCCTCCTGGGGGCCTCTTGGGGCCATCTTGGGGCCTCTTGGTGCCTCCTGGGCGCTTCTTGGGGCCATCTTGGAGGAAATCGATCAAAGAAGAGGGGAGCTTTAATGAGCGTTGCCCCCTCAGAAGGCCAAAATGGGGCCAAAACCTTAGTAAAATCAATGATTCTGGCTTGAAAGAAGAGGGGAGCTTTAATGAGCGCTGCCCCCTCAGAAGGCCAAAATGGGGCCAAAACCTTAGTAAAATCAATGATTTTGGCTTCAAAGAAGAGGGGAGCATTTTTCTGCCTCCCCCCGTCGGGGCCAGAATCCTCGTGAGTGGTGTCGTTTTTTAGCCCTCCCAGGAGTCGAAAAAGACCCCTCCAACCACCCGCGGGGCGCCCTCTCCAGACCCAGGGGGAAGGCGTAGGGGGAGGGGTAAACCCCTCCCCGAAGGGGAAGAAGTGGGGTTGAGAACAGAGCGGGCTCTCTAAACCACTCACGCCCAAAGGGCTGGTTGGATTCTGCCAAACGGGTTTTTCCCGCCGCGTGTCGAACTCGTTCGGACGCCCTTGCGCGCGTGCTGGGTGGGGGGCGCGATCCGTGTCAAATCATACCACACGGGCCACTCGTGCGCGTCGGCTTCGCGCGCTTTTCACACTCGCTCGGATATCGTCATCGTTACCGGCGGGCGTGATCAACATCGGCGCCGTTATCGGCCTTGTCGTCGTCATCGCCACCATCGTCACCATCATCGCTACTCTCATAACCGTGTCTACCTTTGTCGGCGTCGCCATGATACCGCTCCGGCCGAGGTCACCGACTCGCACTGAAATGCCCGCTGGGAAATGCTCAGCGGTCAGCGCCACCGCGGCCGCGTCGGTCGCGCCAAACTCGCTGGCCGACGTGCGCGCGAAACTCGCGGGCTAGCGCAGCCGCAGAGATGCTCCAGCCAATGCCATGCACTCATCGCAATCGCTACCGCATGGGTTTTGCAAACGAAGTTGTGGGTGGGTGGGTGAGATGCTTGTAAGATCTTGGAAGTTGTCGACACGTTAGTACAAATCCATTACATCACGTATTATATTGCACCACGTAGATTGCTCCACACGGATTGCACGACGCAGATTGCACAATATTCTATTGTGAGTGCATGTCGTAGGTTGTCCCACCTAGACTGCCCTACGCGTACTGCTAGAAGCATACTGTTTGGGGCCATCTTGGCTAACGTTGTTTTTCGATACTTGTTCATTATGTTTGAACAAGTTTGTCTACAACCAGACGCCGCCGTTGGATCCCGGGACCTCGTCGCCGCGGTAGGGCGCACGGCCACACTGGCAGCGAACTCAACTGGGGAGGGCGGCAAAAATGTAATCGGTGAATGAACGGCGCGGAGGTAATCGAAAGCTTCACGCACGTTCGCAGCCAGGAGTGAATGCGCGGTCTGCGTGGTGCCGTTGCCGACGTGCTCCACGCGAAGGTGCGGATCGGGACGTTTTTCCTAAGTGAGTTCCACAGTGCTCTACACGGGGTGGTGTTTCCGATTTCATTGGTAGCGCTTCTGGGAAGCCCCATGGGTAGGGCCCATATACCTTTGAGTCTGTACGCGCGGTTCCAAGGCGTCACGGAAGTGGACGTCGAGTACGTGGACGAGGTGAGCGGGTGGGGCACGAACTACGACCACATCCCGACCCCCGAGATGTGCTGCGCGATGTGCCAGGGCGAGCCCAGGTGCAAGGCTTTCACCTGGGTGAAGGACGCAGGGCTGCCAGACGGCTGCCGCAGCCAGTGCTGGCTCAAGGGCGGCACCGGGACCCCGCGGGAGAAGAAGGGCCTCGTGTCCGGGCGGCCGCCTCCGCGGCGGTCTTTGGACAAGATCCCCGCCGGCGCCGGCGGGAAGGGCGGTTCGTTGTTCTGCATGTCGCTCATGGTGCCGGGGACCGACGAAGAGAAGTTGCTGCTGTGGCAGTACACCAACAAGGCGAGCATCTTCGCTTGCGACGCGACCGCCATCTACAGCAACCAGGAGATCGAGCTCGCAAAGGGCGTCACCACCCTCGTCATCGACAGCGACCTGAAGTGCGAGTACGGCGGCGACTCCCAGTCTGCGCTGAATTCCTGGATCTTCATCGCGCTGTGGCAGAAGCTTATAGACGACGGGGAGTACGCCAACCACGACTGGGTCGTCAAGGCGGACCCAGATGCGGTCTTCTTCCCAGATCGGTTGGGGGCAATGTTGGCGGAGCACAAGGGCCACGGCTACATCAACAACTGCCGCTACGGGATGCACGGTCCGATCGAGGTCCTGAGCAAAAGGGCCGTCGATGCGCTTGCGAAGGACTACGCGGCCAGCTTTGACGGCAAGGCCCCCAAGCGGTGTGTGGAGGAGCAGGACTTTGGACAGTGGGGTGAGGACATGTTCTTGGACCAGTGCCTTGGCACCGTCCTGGAGGCGACGGGGCGGCGCGCCTAACGGGGGTGGCGTGAAGGGGGGCGGCCTTCCTAGATGGCGGTGTTCTCTCAGAGTAGCCCGGAGGCTGCTAAGAAGGCTTCCCAGGAGCGTTGAAGGCTTCTCTTTTGAGGGGCTTGTTTTCCACCACCACCACCATAAGTTGGAGGGGGAGGGGGTCTTCCTCCACCTCCTCCTCCTCCTCCTCCTTCTTCTCCTCCTCCTCCGCCTCCTTCCTCCTCCAACTTCTGGTGCTGGTGGTGGATTACAAGCCCATCAGCTTGGAAACCCCGTGGCCCTCCCAAGCAGGCCGCTGCTTTCCTCGGAAGCCCACGCCTCCCGCCTGCGCAGGGAGGCCGCTCCCCACGCGCGGCATCCGATCGCGCGCCGGCCCGCCGATGAGGTGGCGCCGCACCCCGTGGACGTGCGGCTCATGTGCGAGAGCCACTGCGACTGCCCCGCGTGGTACTGGTGCCAGAACGGCACGGACCTCGGAGGAAGGAAAGGTTACCCCCATACCCCTACACCTTAGGCGATGCTTAAGAAAACCTAGGTTTTCGTCCAGAGTCTCGATTGTTCTTAATTTTTCCATGTAAATCCCAAGATTTTGATAGAAGTTCTGGGTTTTATTCAATTTCTGAGACTATGAATTTCTTAACCCATGATTTCTTAAGCATTTCGCAGGGTGTACCCTCGTCTCGTTTTCCCCTTTCGGGGGCCTCCTGGGCGGCCCTCGTCCCCACCGCTGGACGCGCCTTGAGATCCTGGTCAGGGCGCACCCCGGGAGAGGAATGGGGAGCAGCGGTATCGGTACTGATTGGCTTCCCCAGGACCGCGTGAGCTACCACCCCTTCAAGACGGTGGCCTTCGGTATTAACTCAGGGGAGCCTAGC